GTCCGCACGGGTAGGTACCACCACCCCGCCTCGTTCTGCCGTGAAGCAGTAATGCGTTTCGGTTTGAAGGGTGGGGCAGCCGTTGTAACTATATTGAGACCTTAGAACTCATATCTGAAGGTGGCTGGCGTCATTTACGTTGTAGATGTCCATGGGCTCCAGTAACCACTTAACACAGGCTATGAGCTCATCCACTCATCTAAGCAATAAAAAAAGTATGTTTTTGAAACTAACTTAATAACAATTCTGTCCCAAATAACCAATATATATTTTTATCATCGGCTACTTGACAACACCACTGTAATTTTGTGTTTTGTGTATCGTTATGAAAACGGTTTCATTTCAAAGAGAAGCCAATTTTCATCATTTCTCTTGCCCAGCCATCTGTAGAAGCAGTATACATGAATGCACTGAAAAATGTACTGCGCCAGCTTTAAAACAAATCAGTAAACATTTTCCAGTGAACGAATTTGAATAACACAAACATAATTTTCAGTGGGAGTACTTTTTAATACAGTACTTTGTATAATTAAAAAAAATAACACAAACGCTCACTTCCTCATTTAGATTCAAATGAGAACTTCCCCTGGAATAAAATACGAATATATATATTATATAGATATTTTATGTTAAGTAATTAAGGCGATTTTTTTTTATTGCTTAAACGGGTGAACGTGCTCACAGCCCACCTGGTGGTTAAGTGGTTACTGGAGTCCATAGACATCTACAACGTAAATGCGCCACCCACCTTGAGATATAAGTTGTAAGGTCTCAAGTATAGTTACAACGGCTGCCCCATCCTTCAAAACGAAACGCATTACTGCTTCACGGCAGAAATAAGCAGGGCGGTGGTACCTACCCGTGCGGACTCACAAGAGGTCCTACCACCAGTAAGGAATAAATTAATATATATAGCTATTTTATGTTAAGTAATTAAGTCGATTAATGAATAATATGATCTCCCTCTCAACAAATCCTAAGCGACTCGAAACACGAAATAGTAACTAGTCAGGTCATAAGTATTGTCACACAGTAAAAACTTTTCTTTTAGAATGCTGGCCACAAAAAAGTTTATTGAATTCGAATTTCAAATTGTTCATGAAAATAAAAATGTATACTTTTAGAATTTTACTCATTTTTAAATATGGAGTGGACGCCTAAAGAAGACCGTATTGCAGTTATTGCGTTGCATCGTTGCGGTTACGCGCCAATTCAAATTTTTAACATACTGAAAAATTTGAATATAACCAAAAGATTCGTTTATCTTACCATCAAACGATACAATGAAGACTCTAGTGTAGATGACAGGTCAAGAAGTGGTCGCCCTCGGTCTGTTAGGACTCCAGCAGTGATAAAAGCTGTGAAGGCGCGAATTCAAAGAAATCCCAAGCGTAAGCAGAAACTGTTGGCCCTTTACATGGGGTTAAGCAGAACCACGGTGAAAAGGGTGTTAAATGAAGACTTAGGGCTTCGGGCATATCGAAGAAAAACAGGACATCGTTTGAATGCTCGTCTAATGGACCTGAGACTGAAGAGATGCCGTGCTTTGTCTAAGCAGTACGCGGGAAAAAAATATCGGGAAATTATTTTTTCGGATGAAAAAATTTTTACCGTAGAAGAGAGCTACAACAAACAAAATGATAAGGCGTACGCACACAGTAGTGAAGAAGCGAGCAACCGTATTCCGCGTGTCCAACGAGGTCATTTTCCATCCTCGCTCATGGTATGGTTGGGAGTTTCTTATTGGGGCTTAACAGAGGTACATTTTTGTGAGAAAGGTGTAAAAACGAATGCAGTTGTGTATCAAAATACAGTCCTGACGAACCTTGTGGAACCTGTTTCTCATACCATGTTCAATAACAGGCACTGGGTATTCCAACAAGATTCGGCGCCAGCTCATAGAGCGAAGAGCACACAAGACTGGCTGGCGGCGCGTGAAATCGACTTCATCCGGCACGAAGACTGGCCCTCCTCCAGTCCAGATTTGAATCCGTTAGATTACAAGATATGGCAACACTTGGAGGAAAAGGCGTGCTCAAAGCCTCATCCCAATTTGGAGTCACTCAAGACATCCTTGATTAAGGCAGCCGCCGATATTGACATGGACCTCGTTCGTGCCGCGATAGACGACTGGCCGCGCAGATTGAAGGCCTGTATTCAAAATCACGGAGGTAATTTTGAATAAACTTTAATGTCATAAGAATTTATGTTTTGTTAAGTTCATTTTGATATATGAATGGTTACATAATGAATAAACTTGTTTCAATTATTTTACATTAAACATGTGACAGAATTTATGACCTGACTTGGTATATAGCTATTTTATGTTAAGTAATTAAGTCGATTAATGAATAATATGATCTCACTCTCAACAAATCCTAAGCGACTCGAAACACGAAATAGTACATGTATTACAATGTAATGAATGATGCAGAACCGAGGCCACTAAACCCCGGTACTAAAATCCTGCTATTCTCAGAATGATCATAAACGACGTTATTATGGTGTCACGTCCGAAATTATTATTTTAATGGCACAATGCAAACATCACAGCTCAGTCTTAGCAATATTCTGAGAGACAAAGTAAGATTACTATTGTGCTAGTTGAATGATGGGCGCTATTCAACGGAAATGTCAACAAACTCACCGAATTGAAAACATTCAATATGAAATGTGTTGATTAAATGCCTATCTGCTTTATATTATAGAAGATTAATACATTTTATTATCGCTCTTTTTTATAGCGGGAAGAAATCTCCCACGAACTACAGGACAGCCTCATAGGTGTCAACTTTTTTTTTCTTATTGCTTAGATGGGTGAACGAGCTTACAGCCCACCTGGTTTTAAGTGGTTACTGGAGCCCATACACATCTACAACGTAAATGCGCCACCCACCTTGAGATATAAGTTCTAAGGTCTCAGCATAGTTACAACGGCTGCCCCACCCTTCAAACCGAAACACATTACTGCTTCACAGCAGAAATAAGTAAGGCGGTGGTACCTATCACCAGCACAATAAGTGGTACCTATCACCATATATCCGAGGGCAATTAGTAGCGTTAAAAACAATTGACTTAAAATCTTTCGAAATCGTCGTAGCCTAAAGGGTCCCGCCGTCTCAATAGTTCCGACTGGGCTTCAACCCGGTCCGGGGTAGGGCGCCGGCTGTAAGCGGCAGGAGTTTTTAGTGAGGTTCGACTCCCAAATACCCCACCTGCCGAACGATGCGATTGTGCTAGTGTCCATATTTTTCAGACAGGTACCAAATTTTCTAGTAAAATACGTACTTAATAAATGTTCACGAATGACTTCAACGGTGAATGAATAGCATCGTGTAATAAAAGTATATATGTATGTGAATATATATAATATGATATGATTATATATAAGATATAAGTGTAAATTTTAAATGATTATCATGATTCTTGAGTATTGTGAATTATTGATTGATTGAATATTGTGTATGTTGTATAATATTGTGTATACAGTGTATGTGTTTGTGTATGTATGTAATATTATTATCAATTTTGTTATTTCCGCAATAAGTAACGCACCTATTACAGAACTCTCTACACCACCCTTGGTTGTCTGAAAAAGAATACCTCGGGCATTAAGTCCGCCATTGTACCCTTGTGCATGAACATGAATAAATAAATAAAAGTCAAACCCGCAAAATTATTATTTGCGTAATTACTAGTGATGCGGCGTTTTGTGAGTCCGCACGGGTTGGCATCACAATCTCACCTGTTTCTGTCGTGAAGCGTGAATGCGTTTCGATTTGAAGGGTGGGACAGACGTTGTACTATAAAACTTGGAGTTAGAACGCATGTCTCAAGCTGGATGACGGGATTTACTTCTATAACGTCTATGGGCTCCGATAACCGCTTACTATCAGGTGGTCCATGAACTCGTCCACCTGTCTAAACATTAAAATAAACCTAGCCTTCTGTGTCCTTCGTAACCATAAACTTTTGAGCTGGCGAGAGCCACTGAATTAACTGCTATTTGAATGCCGGAGACACTCGAATTAACGTCTCAAAGTAGTGATTATAGCCTATTTTAGGCAACTAAAAAAGTTCGTTTTAAAAGTAAAATAATTCCCAAAATTCTAATTGTACCATATCTAAATCAACGATTTCTATTAGTGACGTTCTATCAATTAAACCATTTATATGAATATACGTGTATAGGTGATTCAATCGTGTTCGTTAATCTTAGTAAAGTAAGTACACTGCACATGATATATTTTACAAGTTCATAAATTGGCTTCATCTAGCAGCCCCAAGTAGGTTACTCTCAGATTGCAATTTTTCTCGCAGCATAAACCCTTGAATATTCATAAAAAGGAAAAAAAAGCATTGATAACAAAATCTTCGCTGAAAAAGCGTTTCGAGGCTAAACAACCGTGAACACGTACCTACATATATATTCTCTCACTTTTTATCTTTTTTGGAGCTCGGCTATCTAAACAAGCACCGCGCCCGGATATGTACGGTTATGGCTCGTCTGGATGTACGAATTTTCCGCTTTTACCGACCGTACGTACGAGCTTTGTTTTAAATATATAAACTACTTTTAAACCGTTTTATGTTTTGTATCAGCTTAATACAGGTTGCTCTTCAGAGTAAAAACGCGCTTTTGTAAACGAAAAAGAGCTTGTTTTTTTTTTAAATTTGAATTTATAGGTCAATTTATATAAGTCTAAATTGGGTCTTATAATCTATCGTACTGTCAGATTAAGCTAATTGTTAGCAAATATGTTATCAAAGCTACCGAATATCTATTTTTTTAAATGAATTTAAAACATTCTTGTGTGAAAATTTATATCAATTATATCATTATGCTAACGTTGTGTCTTTCGTACTAAATGTGTTTAATATTATTTCAGATAATAAATAGATTTTATTATAGATAATACACAATTTTCATAACTTGCAGCGCATATAGTAATATCGTAAATAAGAATATTTAGGAAATTTAGAAATGTTCAAATACTCACTGGTGGTCCACAGTGAGTGCTCGTCGTGGGGGCGCCACGAGTGCAACAGGCCACGCGGCCTGAACTAACGATTCTCTGACGAACTGCTCCCACGACGGCGAGGGACCTGAAAAGATATCAGTTGAATTTCGTAATATAAGTGCTTGTAAAAAATGCTTTAGTCGGGCTGACGAACCTCCTCTTCTCACTAATTCTGCAACGTGACTGATTAGTACATAACCTTTTTCTCTGATATTTACCATCAGCTTAGACTCTAAGCAGTACGTACCGCTTGAACGTTCAGTGTATTGAGTTCGACGAACCATTTGGCGTTAAATGCTTCTCGGAGGCCATAGACAACAAAAATACTTGAAACATGAAGTCTAAGTTAATATTATAATATGTATTAATATTAACTTACTAGCGGTCCGCTCCGGCACCGCTCGGGTCTTTAACAAAAATTTGTAAATACTAATGTGTTCTACAAAGTCGTAGTACATTATTTTATTCTATCATCAATAGTTTTCGCAGAGCACACGATATTTTAGGTATTTTTTTTACACCTTGGGTTACAATATTGGAGTTTTAGTAAAGATCCCTAATTTGTTTCAAAAAATATTATAGCCTGTGTCACTCGGGAATAGTGTAGCTTCCAAACAGTGAAAGAATTTTTCAAATCGGTTCAGTAGTTTCAGAGCCTATTCAACAAAACAAACAAACAAATCTTTCCTCTTTATAATATTAGTATAGATAATATATTAATACTAGCTGACCCGGCAAACGTCGTGTTGCCTTAAATAAGATTTCTAGGGAAATTCTACTGTAGAAAAAAAAAACCTCATTTAACCATATAATAATACCTCATTATAAAAAAAAAAATATATCCAAAAAATAAAAATAAAAAATAAATGTTTGGGGTGGACAACCCTTTTCACTTAGGGGTATGAAAAATAGATAGTAGCCGATTCTCAGACTTACTGAACATACTATTGATACACAAATAAAACCAAAAAAACATAGCTGAAAAATGTATAGTATTGTATAGCTCTCAAATATATTAAGTGTATAATCTATGATGTATAGTGAGTAAGTAAGACAGGAGACCGGCTTCGTCCTCATCCCTACTACGTGATGTTTGCTGGATGAGTGGTAACACCTGGCGGGGATAGCTGATCGATTGATAGTTGATCAGTAGTCGATCGGCGAGGGCGGGAGATCAAATTCAATTTAAAAAAAATCATAATTAAAGGAACTTGAAATTATAAACTCTGAATAAGAATTTATCGTACTACAATTATAATATTTGATTGCCATCTTGCAATCTTATTGCGGATCTGTGCATAGAATAAAAAAAAAAAAATCGGGATGGAAAAATAGGGGTTGATCGTATAAGAGTGAAAATTGAGAGTAATATGATTTTTTTTATTTTAAGTCATGACAAAACAAAATAAAAAACTTGCCAAAAAAATTAAAGTTTATAATTAACAAATAAAAAATAGGGGTTGATCATAGAGGGATGCAAAATTGAGAGTAACATCAGATTTTTTATTTTAATTCATGACGAAATAAAAATAAAAATGAAAATCTTGCCAAAAAAATTAAAGTTTATAATTAACAAATAAAAAATAGGGGTTGATCATAGAGGGATGCAAAATTGAGAGTAACATCAGATTTTTTATTTTAATTCATGACAAAATAAAAATAAAAATGAAAATCTTGCCAAAAAAATTAAAGTTTATAATTATCAAATAAAAAATAGGGGTTGATCGTAGAGGGGTGAAAATTTCAGAGTAATATGATTTTTTTTATTCTACGTCATGACAAAATAAAAACAAAATTCTCGCAAAAAATTTTAAAGTTTTTAATTAGCAAATAAAAAATAAGGGTTGATCGTAGAGGGGTGAAAATTTAGGGTTGTATGTATTTTTGTATGTTGTATCATAAAAAAATAGAAATTAAAAATTTTGTCTAAAAAATAAAAAAATAAATTTAGGGGTGGACTACCCCTAACATTTAGGGGGATGAAAAATAGATGTTGGCCGATTCTCATAGATACCGGATAAGCACAAAAAATTTCATCAAAATCGGTCAAGCCGTTTCGGAGGAGTATGGCAACGAAAACTGTGACACGAGAATTTTATATATTAGATATTATTAATAAAAATAATACTATTTTAATCGAATTTCTCAGCCCTAAAATAGTACGCTTGAAAGCTACGTGATAGAAACAGGCAGGATGGTGGCTACTATATGTGAGTTCGCGGTTAAAATATGAGTATGTAGCAGCAACCACAATCTTTTTTAAAGATTCGTGTTGGAATATGACTTTTACCACTTTTTATTTTTATTAAACTCGATATCGTCTCGTCATATAAATTCTTATATTCCTATAATAATAATAATCCTATAATCCTTATATCCTTATTACACGGATTTATCTGTTAAGCGCTTACAGGAAAAACGTTTTATTTTGTTTAACAACGAAAAAATCACCGAATAATATACGATTTCATTTGATTATTCGGAATCTTATTAACAGTCGCGGTAAAAGGCCTAACTCAATATTAAGGACTTTGGCAAAATTGTGCGTCGTAAAATTTTATAACTCTACAGAATCCGCAATACCTCAGTCAATGACCCTGGTACCTTCAGGTAATATTTACATAAGGACGGGATGCCATTTTGTTTGATACCAAATATTACGGGTAGGTTTTGGTATGAGGTAGCAATCATAAATAATCCTAATCGTAATGAAGTATAGTTTACATAATATGTATAATGAGGTCCGCATCGATATAAGGAAAGAAGATTATTTTCGTTGACATTAAATTTAGCAGATGGATGTGCTCATTGACCGTATTTCTGCATATGGATTTGGATTTTAAGATTTTTTGTTACCATGTTTTGTTTTACTGTTACGCGCTGGGGTTCGGGATAAATAAATGTTCTACCAAAGTACAGCTTAAAACTGTATTTATCACTTAGAACACACACAGAACACTTTAAAACTCTCGATCCGCTTCTTCCGCTTCGCTTCAGGTGATCCGTTCGCTGTATCACTTCGAGTAATTCCGATTACTGACTGCCTGTGTGCCATCTCTGCAACGCTTTTATAGTCGAGACGAAATCCCTAGAATCGTCGAGACCATTCCTCACAAGTCGAGTACCTTCGATGCGTGTTTCCGCTATCTGACAATAGATGTCGTTGTCCTTCTCGAGAGTTCTAGATGCTACTAGATCCTTCTATATTCGTTCGACTATTCGGCGATAGATGGCGTTACTCTTACCAGCGTAACAATACGTTTTTTTAACAATACAAAGCATACAATTAAAACAAAACGCATACAACTCTTCCCCACGGTTCTGACCATCTCATGTTCTCGTGTCTTACTTGTCTCAATTTGTACGTTAATTTTACGTGTCAGCTTTGAATAGTTACTAACCAAAAAAATCAGTGTACAAACACAGCAAGAAATGATATTGTTTTATCTTTGTATATTTATAAATAGACTAGCTGACCCGTCAGACTTCGTAGTGCCTCCATTGACAAATAAAAGACCTAAACTTTTGTATAAAATAAACTTAATAAACAAAAGGAATCCGTCCGACGGGGGACACATCAAAGGGAAAACAATTTTTCCTTTTTTCTACCTTTTAAACCTTCTCTTGACTTCCACAAATAATTCAAGACCAAAATTAGCCAAATCGTCTAGCCGTTCTCGAGTTTTAGCGAGACTAACGAACAGCAATTCATTTTTATATATATAGATTATTAGTCCGGTAGACCAATTTGTTTGTTAGGAAGACTATATTAGTAAAACAAATAGATACCTGGTAAATAAAATATCTGATCAAATGTACACATATGCATAAACCATCCTACATAAGCAAGGGAAAGTACCTAATTCTGTTAACATTATATATTCTCCCGCGGTGCTCGTTTCTCTATCTCGAAAATTTTACAGAAAAATAAACGCTAACATCCAATTTCAGCGGGTCCATTCAAGCACCTCGTGGAGCAATAAACGATGCATCACTCGGAAGAATTTTTGGTATCGAAATTTCATAGCTCCTAAACGACAGTGGAAGTTCCATTTACATTTCATTAAACTAGTACTAAGCGGCACTTCTTCAAAGAAAAGAATACACTAAAAAGGTTTATTTAGGTATAATTCCACAGGTTTCATTGAAATCACTCATAGTGCTATGAACACACGCTGAGAACACAATCCTTGACCTGACCGGCAGTATTCGGTAGCCGCGTGGCCAATTTCGCCACTAATTGAGTTTTCGGCTTTTAAAGCCAACAGCCCCCAAAGTGCGGTGGGTAAATTTAAATCTCACTATAGTTTCGACTTTAGGACTCTAATTTGAATATCGATCGCAAAATTAATAGAGAAAGTTATGGACATCCGTGGTGTGACGCCCATAGCTTTTGTTGTTTTCGAATAATTTTATCCTCAAGTATTTTTATGCTTATGATTCATGAAAGTTATGTGAATTCCCGAATTTTAGCGAGGCTCTGCAGAGAAAACGCCACAGCAACATAAAATTACTTTTCATTCCGATAGAGGCACCCGTCACGCGCGGACGTGCTCATCGACCACTCGATCGCCCGGCCTTTGTTCGCCCGGCTTTTGTTAGCCCGGCCATTGTTCGCGCGGCCTGTGTTCGTGGTACATCTGCCGACTAAGTGCTCTTCCTGGAAGTTTTTATTTGTTTTGTTTCCTTTTGTTATTTCTGTGTTCGTGGTACNGTCGCGATTCCGATCCGGTAGTAGATTCATTCGCGAAACAGCTGCTCTTGAGCTGTTAGGTCTCCTTCGGAGGCGCTCGGGTAGCTGTTAGCAAATCCCACCCCTCCTGGCTGAGCCTTTGCTCGCCCACCTGTCCTGGTGAAACTGGAAAGGCCTCCGGGCCACCAGTAATCCTTCAATCATAAAAAAAAAAAAAAAAAAAAAAAAAATTACTTTTGAAAAACAAACACATAATTACGAAAGCAATTAAGCGCTCTGATACAAAATAAAACCCACATAATTAAAAGTAGAAAACAACGTACGTTTTATAATTGTTTGGCTCTTTGAACATAACACATATTAAGTTTCAAAATGTGAGTCATGCTCTCAGC